TTTAAGGACTCAGAAAGTGGCTGACTGATATGTTTTATGTTTGATGTAGCTTCTAAAAATATTTATTAAGACTACTTGATTCAATATGTAGTACCTATCACCACTTACCCAAAAAGTGGAATGTGTCTGTATACACCAGAGAGATAATACTCTACACTATTGAGAGTGCACACAATGAATTGCTGAAAATATTGCTAAAGTGAGGTAACTATCATCCCTCCAAAAATATACATTTTTGACAGAAATCTTAAAGAAGCTAGGGAATGATTGAGGAGTCAGAAAAGTGACACTGGTTAGATAAGTTACAATTTGCCAAGATTTAGTTTCCTCTTTATTGACTCTGAATGTTCTCAAAGTGCTTTAAGAAGAAAAAAAAAATTTTGGATACAAATGCAGATTGAGATAAAAATAACAAAGGACATCTAAAGAAAATGCATGATAATTACATGAAATAATAAAAATACAAGCTTAATCAACTATCTCACACCAAATCAATGACTGGCATAGAGAATTGTGACTGTTTGCAGAAATCAGGACCCGCCATGTACAGCTGTCAATTCGGTCAAGCTCCTGAAGCTCGTGCTATCTAGAGGAAAACAAGACCTCATCAAAACTGAGCTTCTCCAGTAATTAGAAGGGAAACAGGCCAGAAAATAGATAGTGTTGGTGAGGCCACTGAGAAAATTTTCTGCAGCTCTTGAAAGCTCTCTTTGTGTTTCTGTTTTCCATTTGCATCCAATGAAAAATCCAGATTCTTCTACTCCTTAAGCAGTGCATTATTTAGTCACAACCCAAGTTTAATTTTGTTTGTTCCCTTTTTGTCCTGGAGAAAGAGGAATAAACTGATGTTCTTCCCTCAGGAAAATGGACTCAGAAATCCCAGAAGCCTTCCAGAAGGATCTCACCTGCCTCATCTGCCTGAATTTCCTTCTAGACCCAGTCACCATAGGCTGTGGACACAGCTTCTGTAGGTCCTGTCTTTGTCTTTTCTGGGAACAAGCTGAAGTCCCTGCCAGTTGTCCGGTGTGCAGACAACGATCAGAACAGACAAACTTCAAAACCAATTTTCTTCTGAAGAATCTGGTGTCCACTGTCAGAAAAGCCAATCTCAGGCAATTCCTGAAGTGTGAGGAACACCTGTGTGGGACCCACAAGCAGACAAAGACGATCTTCTGTGAAGCTGACAAGAGCTTGCTCTGTTTGGTCTGCTCTCAAGGTCAGGAGCACAAGACTCACAGACATTGTCCCACTGAAGAGGCTGCTGAGGAATCCTGGGTAAGTGATGCCTCTGAGACATGTAGAAAGCTTGGGGGTGGTACAGCTAAGAGACTAAAATGATGATGCTTAAATCTTCTCTTTACTGACTTGGTAAAGAATCCACCTGCAATGCAGGAGACCTGGGTTTGATCCCTCGGTTTGGAAGATCCTTTGGAGAAGGGAAAGGCTACCCACTCCAGAATTCTGGCCTAGAGAATTCCATGGACTATACAGTCCATGGAGTCACAAAGAGCTGGACACAACTGAGCAACTTTCACTTTTACTGAGTGCCACGAACAGATTTAGTTAACAATAATAAAGTGGTGAAGAATATAGAGCAGTATACCTGCTTTGTGGAACTTGTATCCAATGGCTGGCTGATGAAGCTAACTGAAATTATTTGGGTGATATATTATTATGCTAATGACACTGTAGGACCTTCATTTTAAGAAAGAAACTGACTGTAAAATCAACAAGTGCCAAAATACTTTTCATTGAATACAGGTTTTCTAATCCTAGACAAGAAGGAAGATACAGTCAGTACATTGGATTTTACAGAAGATAAACATAAGCATATTCAAATTTTGATGCAAGTTGCCACAGCAGCTGAAAATTAGTCATACCGTTGGCAGATAATTACCTAATGATGTGTGGATTTTTAGTGTAGAATTTCATAAAACAGATCATGAGTGAGGAAAAATAGGGACACCTGGTCACCTGCCGTGGTCTGTGTCTCCCTCAAGGACTTTTATCTAATAATTGTCAGTACATCCCAATCTTTGGGCTCTGAAATTCCAATGTATTTGCTTCTTTATACTAAAATTCATAATTCTTTTACAGGAAAAGTTGGCAAACCAAATGAGATCTTTATGGGAAAAGATTCAAGAAACTGAAAGAAATCTCAAGAAAAATCACAGAGGAAATGACCCTTGGATGGTAAGTAGAAGAACATATTTCTTTAAAAAAAAAAAAAAACAGATTGAGGCAGACAGTGAGAAACTTATCATTAATAATGTAAGCTGAAATTACCATGTATAGTGAAATTCAGAGAGTGAGTTGAACACCATCAGAAAAAATCTTCTCATCACCATTCAACCAACATTTACATGCCTCTCGAGCTCTTTAGAATCCAGTGGGTCAATAACTAAAACAAAAGACCCATTAGAAGAAAGTTCTAAGGTGGAGGTTTATGGTGTGATGTGGATGATTATATAGACATGATTCAGTATCTCAAGGAAAATTTCTCAAGTTTAAGATCAATTCCAGTTCTGAAGTTCAAGTAAATGTTTTAAAATCCATGGGTTAAAAAATAAATAAATAAATAAATAAAATCCATGGGTTATTTCAGGCACAGATTTCTGTCAGTCATACATTCCAGAAAGCAAAAGGCATGTCATTGGGAACCACAAAGTACTTCAATCTGATTAGTACATGAGCCCAGGTGATGCAAAGCAAACAGGAACAGTTAACTCCTTAACATTTTAAGGAGTGTGCCCATCATGGTGAAGAGTAATTGCTCTCTGGCTAGAGAGTGATATTGGTTCAAGTTGGAGAAAATGTGACATGTTAAACAACTCAGGGGGAAAGGAATAAGGAGAAAGAGTTGGAGCATGAGAGAATGAATCATTCAATACCAGGAGGAATATGAAATGGAATGAAGAGAAATGATCTTCCAAAACAGTATGGGAAGAAGCTTGTGAACTTACAGGGAGGAAGAAAACTGATTCATAGAGGAAAGAACACTAGAAACAAATGATTGAGGCTGGACAACAGTTCGAGGGCAGGCAATAATTTTTAGGAAGATGTTTCCTGAGATTACCAACACTGAAAGTATTATGTAGCATGGCTGCTAAGAGAGAAAGCCAGGAGATACTAGGTGAAACACAAGCTTACTTATTAGCATTGAAATGAGGATATTTTATATGACACATGAATCACCTATAAATTTCAATTTCTTACATGGGCTCTTTCACATTTAACAGGAGGCATATGAAAGAAATGATTCATGAAAAGATTTTCTCTAAGTGTTTCAGGAACTCCTGAATTAGATGAAAGTTGTTTGAGGAAAGGGTAGGTTTGGTTTCTGATCAATTAAAAAGAATGAAAACAAAGTGAAGGAAAGAGGAATGAACTTGACTTCTGAGATGAGGGAGGGTATGCATTTAGCATGGATGTAGCTTCTTGGGAGAGAATATGAATCAGAGCAAACTAAATGATGTTGAAATTCATCTCTCAACAGTTTTATGTGTATCGACATAGAGACATGATTAGGAGAACTTATCAGATGGCACCCCCATTTCTCCCAGAGGAAGAAGATTACTATGTAGAGAGTATTATAAAAGAAGGCCAAAACATATGCAAACAACTCAGAAGAAGGCAAGAGGAAATAGTCAGAAAGAAGAGAGAGCTCCAAGAAATACACAAGGAGCTCATTCAAATGTGCTCTAAACCAGATGTGGAGCTGCTCCAGGTAAGAACTGAGGATCTGTTTGAAAATACATTACCTGAAGCTCACACCTTTGACTTCCCTGACATAGTAAATTTCTTCATCCCCTGAGACTAAGATGGGATTCTCTCCTACTTGGAAATATTATAGATAAAGTGCAACTCATGCAACTCATGACTGAGCAAGCTTTACAATATTCTGATCCTAGACATTCCCCAGGGAATATTCCCTTTTCAAAATCGCCTTTTCTAACTTGCCTCTATTAAAACCAGAAAGGAACAGCTTATGTACTCATTCCATTTTTTGGTCTCCAAATGTGTAATGGGAGACATTTGGACAAAGTGTATATGTGTACGTATATACATATATACAAACACACATATACATGTATGTGTGTGTGTATGTATATTTCCACTTCTTATTGGGATATACCAGGTTTCATTAAACATTAGTTTGGAGCTTATTACATTTTGGGGAAAAGCCCCAGGAAAGATCAATGTGCAGAGAGAGGAGGGTGAATCACCAGTACTCTTGTCCTTTCTCTGTTTCACCTTTCGTTTTATTAACTCATCAAGAAATACATTCCATCCATATAAAATATGTTGTCCCAAAGGTTTTTGTTTTTGTTTTCAGAAAGAAAAGGAAAACAGATGTCTCAGACTGTTTCTGATGGTGATGATTTGAACTCTACTGAAGTTTTGCCAACCCAAATCATGGTTGCCTATATATAAGGTCTAACTTGTCTTTTTTTTTTTTTCTTGACAGGAATTGGAAGACAAACTGAAATGGTAAGTTTTTTGATGCTGATGAGGGCACCTGTGGGCTCTGAAAGCGATACGGCAGCACTTAACAAAGCGATGATGTAACTTACCTAGATAATGCTAGATTGCTTGTGTACATGTGTCTGCACCTGTTTTGCTGAGTATGATTTATTGCTCAAAAGGAAGTTAACCTTTTTGTTCCTGTGGCAGAGGGAGGTATTCTCCAGCTCAGTGCAAAAATTTTTTAAAGGTCAGTAATTTCTGACTTAGATTTCAAAATCACAAGCAGCTAGATGTACAAAGACTAGTTTTTCCCAGATTTGAGGTTAGAGATGCAATTATCTCTGAGAAATGGGCTGGAGTCAGGGCAAGAAGAAGAGTGAGAATAATTTTCCAAAAACAGCTCAATTCTATCCCATGAGGGTGGAGAAGAGATTTAGATGAAGAATGTTGAACTGAAGGATGTTGTCTTATTGTAAAGGCTGTGTTTAAAAGCCCTGGGCAGCAGAAGGATGAACCATATCTTCCCCTTACAGGAGTGAATCAGCACAGCTTCACATGCCTCAGCCCCTGGTCCCTGAGCTCCTTGCACGACCCATGTCCGGGCTGCTGGACTGGCTCAACCGCTTCCGAGGTGAGTGTCAACCCATGGTGCGTCCATTCTGCAGGCTCCTTCAGTGATGGTGTCCACAGAGAGTCTTTTCCTGCTTAGCTTTCACCTTGTGCAGGGGAACAGCCTGCAAACAGGCAGGTGCAGACGTATGTGGTCAGAGTCACTAACATCCTTACAGATTACATGCAGGCTGGTGCAGATATTGATTTGATTCAGGCCTCATCAAATTTTTTTAAATTTCATAAAAATTTGTATAATGAAAAAAGTAACATGCTCCCAAAATGGCTTCTTGAGCCCTAGAAATATCATGACATACAATGTCAGCTGTTCACTGACTTCTAGAAAACTGGTAATTAAAACAGGATATTAAAATTTCAGAGTTTAAGTGAAGTTAGAGTTTTAAAACATTTTTTAAGAAAACATTTTCTTTTCTTTTTTATGTATATTATTTTTAAAATATTTTCTTTATTTAGTTTTAACCACACTGGGGCTCTGTTGCTTTGCCCAGGCTTTCTCTAGCTGTGGTGAGCCAGGTTCCCCTTCACTCCAGTGGGTGCCTTCTCATTGCAGCGGCTTCTCTTGCTGCAGAGCACGAGACCCCTGATGACTGAGCTTCAGTAACTGTAGCATGTGGGCTCAGGCGTGGTGGGTCCTGGGCCCAAGAGCACAGGCTCGGTAGTCGTAATCCACAGGTTCAGTTGCTCCACAACATGTGGAATCTTCCCAGATTAGGAATGTCCCCTAAATTGGCAGGAAGCACCTTATCCACTGTGCCACCAGGGAAGTCCTGAAAACATTTTTGCTTAAAAAGTTCTTAGCAACTGAAGACATAAAGTGCTTTTTCCGCTCACATAATCTGACAAAATGCATAAGCCTCAAAAATCAAATGCAGAAATCAAAAGGAAGCAAATGGTTGGATGATGAGGCCACAATGAGCTCCATGATAAACCTCACCCTGGAGGGTGACTTAGCAGGAAGTGGAAGACTAGGCTTCAGTTTGGAACCACAGATCAAAGACAGATAAGCCCTACAAAGAAACTACTCTGAAGAAGCCATCCTTAGGTTGTACTTCTTCAGTGTCCATTTGCTAACTTAACTGAAATGGTAGAGTGATCACCATTTTCCATTCTATAATGCAGCTTTTTTCCTTGCACAGTGGTGGAGAAGGTGGGGATAAGATATGCTGTCATGGTCTTGGAGGTGATTGATGTCCAGGAGTCCAATCTTTTAGATATAATAAATATACAATATTATACCCAGCAGAAGTTACCTTGACCTCCCTCTAACTTATAATCTCTGAACTTGTGGGATGTTTGTTTGTTGTTTGTTTTTTCCATTTTAATTAGCTCTTTCTTCAGCAAATATGTTAGCAATATTTAAGTCCTATACTTTCCAATCAGAACTGCCCTTCCAATCTTACAATGTACTTCCAGTGAGACTCCAGGTGGACCACCTTCTCTGGTAGATAATTTGATTTTTAACATTGATTTTGACTGACATTTTCTCTCATCTCTCCACAGTTACCTTTTCATTCAATAATGAAGTAAGCAGTCAGCACATCAGGCTGTTCAATGATGCAAGACGTCTGACATATGAACATGCCAGGCTCCATGCATCTTTAGATGGTGGAACATCCAAGTATTTTGCTGCCTGGGGAGACCAGAGCTTCACCTCTGGCAAACAGTACTGGGAGATGCTCATGGACAGCTCTTGGGACTGGGCTGTAGGCATCTGTAAGGATTCCTGGATAAGGAAGGATGATGGCATACTGGATGAGTCCAACAGGGACAACTTTCTTCTTGTGTGTGTGAAGCAGGATGACCATTACCAACTCTGGACCACCGCCCCCACCACGCCTCTGTACATAGAGAGACCTCAGGGCAGGGTTGGGGTGTTCCTTGATTGTGACAGTGGGAGTATAAGTTTTGTGGATGTTGCCAAGCGCACCCTCCTTTGGAGATACGATGATGGCGTGTGCACTTTCCCTGTCAGGCCCTTCATCTGCACTGGCCACAGGTGAGGAGGCTGAGTCACGGCCCACATGGGATGCTCAGGACTCCTCTGAGGGAGCCCTTATCCCCAGCAGTATATCAAGTAGACTTCCTGACCTTTAGGCTCTTTCTACTGTAATGGAGCTTCCTTTATTGTTATCTGATGTGAAGATAGTGTCGAATGCAAATTTCACTTGGTTGTCCTCCATATTCCTGACAATAAATTCTTCTATTGTTACCATGTGTCCAGAATATATGCTGTGATTTTTCACTTCCTTCATGAACTTCCTAAATTCACAACAATATGACCATGTGCCTCCCACTTCCTGGACCTCAATACAAGAACTCAGAGCTTGCACAGCATAGGCAGACCTGGTCACCAACCAGGCCAACGCCAGCCTGCAAACTTCTGCTTCCTTGTAACTTCCTCTGCCCTATATACATCTATTCATCCTCAGGATGAAATCTGATTTGCAGGGAAATCGCCATTGCCCTGGAAACTGGGAAAAGCCTTTCTTTTAGAGAACTCAGAATTTGCATCTCTTTTTTCTATTACAATAGTATAAGGGAAAAGACAGAAACAATCTCCTAAAGGATGGACCCTATGGCTTTCCTTTGGCATATCTGAAATACCACTATCATTATCGCCATACTTGAGGGCCATTATTAAATAAGGGCTACTTGAAGACACTTAGTGTGATTTTTAGGACCATTGATATGATAACCCAGGAAGTTAAATCAGTGAGGGTGGGATAAGCAGGACAAAGTGACAATACATGTTCTCGTTGGGATAAAGCTGGATGGTGTGGGATTTCATTGCACTACAGAGAATGACTCACAATTAAATATATTTGAATTGTTTATTTCTTAGATTTTCTGTTTAATATTTCCGGAACAAGGTTTTAACCACCTGGGTAACTGAAATCAAGAAAAGCAAAACTGCGGATGAGTAGTTTATATTAAAAAAAATAATAATCTAGAGAAAGGAGTGAGAAAAGTGTTTGGACTTTGAATAATTTCCAAATTTTCCTGTGGGTGATGTTACTGTGGAACAGAGGATTAACATCTAGGTCATTAAAAAAAAGAAAACATGGCAAGTGAAGAACCTTGTATACCATGGGGCCTTGCATAAATATGAATTTCCACTCTAACAAAGGTTGAGATAATCCATCTGAATTTGTCATATTGTCAAAAAATCATTACATGTGGGTTATTTCTGTAAAATAACAGGATTTCTGAAAGTAACCAATGGATACAATTGCCTTAATGTGTCTGAGGAAAAATCAGACTGATAGTTGAAAGAAAGGATGCCATGAACATACGAGTACACATCATGAACTGAAATGAAAGTGAAAGTCGCTCCGTCGTGTCCAGCTCTTTGCAACCCCGTGGAATACAGTCCACGGTCTTCTCAGGCAAGAATACTGGATTGGGTCACCTTTCCCTTCTCCAGGCGTTCTTCCCAACCCAGGGATCAAACCCAGGTCTCCCACATTTCGGGCAGATTCTTTACCAGCTGAGCCACAAGGGAAGCCCAAGAATACTGGAGTGGGTAGCCTATCCCTTCCCCAGGGGATCTTCCGAACCCAGGAATCGAACCAGGGTCTCCTGTATTGCAGGTGGATTCTTTACCAACAGAGCTAAAAACCTAAAACAAAATAAGTTAATAGATGCTTAAGAATAATTTAAACTTATGTTAATTTAAATATAAATTTAAATCATGTTAGTAGTTGCAAATTCTGTATTAAAGCTTTGGAGTGTCAACTTTAAAGTTCACAATCAGGACAATAATACATCACCACTATTAATGTTTTTTTAGACATCTGTCAAAACACAGTAAGAAATAAACTTTAGGTATAAAAAGTCAAGTATGATCATTATTTCTGACGTAACAACTGTTCACCTGAAACACGCTAATAAACAATAAAGTAAAAAAAAAAAGAGTATACAAAAATAAATAAATAAGTCATTAAGATTTCTTTTGGAAACAAGATTAATATTCAAACTCAATTTTTTTGTATATAAAAGATACAACTACTAATAAAGGATACAATAGTTCATGAAAACAAAATAAAAGGAAAAAGGAAATAAGCCAGGAACCTAGAGGGGGAGTAAAGAATAATGAGAGGGCCTTAATCTTAAGCAGGTTTCCAATATCATTCATACATCAGTGCAATATGTATTAGTGACAAAGAGTCAGGATTTCTGCTAAGAATAAATGCTCGGGTGGAGAGGGAGGTGGGAGGGGGGGACCGGGATGGGGAATACATGTAAATCCATGGCTAATTCATTTCAATGTATGACAAAAACCACTGCAATGATGTAAAGTAATTAGCCTCCAACTAATAAAAATAAATGAAAAAAAAAAAGAATAAATGCAGAAGCTGGCTTGAAAACAAGTGGCATACCTCATTCAAATGAACATGAATTTGTTTCTATTTTTACTTTTCTAAGTCAGAAAGAAACACTTTATTGGCAGATCAGAACTTAAATATACATATGGAAATAGTTCTGCCCCAATCCATTCACTCCCAGTAGGAGAGTGGTCTACTTCTAAATTTAGGAAGTAAGAAAGTGAGATACCAAGATTTTGAAAACGTTCTTAATGTCACCTAGCCCATCTCTCGTTAAAATTTCCCCACCGCAGTTCCAGTACAGGGGTCCGTGAGGAGAGATCCACAGAAAAGTAATGGATCATAGAAAAATGATGAGAACATTGCAGTTGGTAATTATGATTGGTGCCTTACCTTGTAAAATGTTTCCTTTATAAACTCCTTAGTATCTAAATGTGTTGCAATGAGCACAATCATAAAAATACATAAATAAAAATAAAATAAGGCTAGGAAGCAAATTTTATGAACAAAATCATTCAAGTTGGTGATTGATGAAGCTATACATAGATGATAGTCTGGAGGGCAACTAGCAAGCAGTGGAAACTACACCTCGCATGCAATCAGGAGTAAAGAGCAGAAAATTACTGATGATACATTTCTTCTAAGGAGGTGTATTTATATTTTCTTCCTAAATGTAAATTTTCAAAACTGGCATCTCCTAATAACCCGGGCAAGGTCTTTAATTGGGTCAAAGACTTGTCACCTTCTTCCTTGACCCAAGAAGAAGCAGTGGAAGTAAGTTTTATTGCTAAGAACTTGCAGCAATTAAAAAAAAAATTTTTCCATGAAAAGTTTGGGTTATCTATCTTAATATATAGGGAGGGCCATTGTCAGTCAATGGACTGTAAAATTTACAGTTAAAGTTAAGCTAATAGTTATCATCAGTGTATCAGGTTTGCATCAGCTAGGGCTCAGTTACAGAAGGAGAGAGAAAGACAGAGCTCCTGCTCACAGCGAGTTGCCTTCTATGATGGTGAGGGGAAAGTGTGAGGACAGGAGGGCCTCCCTCAGGGAGGGTAAACACAAGCAGGCTGAGATCCGAGTTATTGGGGCAAAGCCGCCACCCGCAGGAGGCTGAGGTACTGGGAGCAATGCTGATCCACTTATTGTCTGCACTTTTATTCCAGAAGTCTCTATACATTCTTTTAACTCTGTGGGAGAAGGTGAGGGTGGGATGTTTCAAGAGAACAGCATCGAAACATGTATATTATCTAGGGTGAAACAGATCACCAGCCCAGGTTGGATGCATGAGACAAGTGCTTGGACCTGGTGCCCTGGGAAGACCCAGAGGGATCGGGCGGAGAGGGAGGTGGGAGGGGGGATCGAGATGGGGAATACATGTAAATCCATGGCTGAGTCATGTCAATGTATGACAAAACCCACTACAATATTGTAAAGTAATTAGCCTCCAACTAATAAAAAAAAAATAAATAAATAAGAAAATTAAATAAATAAATAAATAAAGACCTCCTGTTGATTAGATCAGGTGTATCTGCATAATCTCCTTAGATTAGAGTCTATATCACTGATTTACATCCTCAAAACCTCTTCACAGCATCACCTAGATTAGTATCTGCTTGAATAATTGCAGGAGATGTAAGTGTTCAAAGCTGGCTGATGGATTACCTTAAACCCTTGTATTAAAGCCTAGCCAGGTTGAAACAACAGAATCCCATTACAAGATCATATGCCATCTAGCATAATTAATTATAAATCTTATACAAATTTTACCACTTTAAGCTTAGTACACAGAACTGCCCACCTAGAGAATGACCTGAATATGCACTCTATTTCTCAATAAATGCAATAATTTAGAAAACACTACTGATTGCAATGATAATAATATGATAATGCTAATAATGCTTTAATGTTACATTCTTCAGTGTTTGAATTATATGGTAATGCTAATAATATTGAAATTTTGGTACCTTAATGACCTTATGTGATCTTGGCTGATATCTGTGCCTTTTAATCTTTAATGTTACATTCTTCAGTGTTTGAATTATATGGTAATGCTAATAATATTGAAATTTTGGTACCTTAATCACCTTATGTGATCTTGACTGATATCTGTGTCTTTTAATCTTTAATGTTACATTCTTCAGTGTTTGAATTATTTTGTAATGATTGCTGTCAGTTAGATTCATTGGTTTCAAAATATTCCTAAGTCAGCAAGCCCACATGAGATATCACAGACTCAACCATTATTTTAAAAATCATTTTTTAATATACAGTGTTGTAGTGTATACAGGGTAGAAAGAAAGAAAGTGAAGTCGCTCAGTCATGTCCGACTCTTTGCGACTGCATGGCCTGTAGCCTACCAGGCTTCTCCATCCATGAGATTTTCCAGGCAAGGGTACAGGAGTGGGTTGCCATTTTCTTCTCCATAGGATCTTCCCGACCCAGGGATCAAACCCAGTTTCCCACATTGCAGGCAGCTGCTTTACCCTCTGAGCCACCAGGGAAGCCCATATAGAGTACAGTATTTTTAATAAACTATTCTCTACATTGTAGAATTTTCAAACATTCTATTTAACTATATAGCAACTGGACAAATGCTTTAGAGAGAAACAAGATGCATCATTCTTCTTATCACATCCAATCAGCATTATCTGCTATAAACCTGATATAATTTG